GAGGCGCCGCCGCCCCCCCCGCCCCCCCACACACACCGCTTGCGCCTGCGCGCGCGCTTGCGTACTGGCGTAAAAGCGCCCAAGGCGCCTGCGCGTGCGCATGCTTTTGCCGTGGATCGTAGGTGTTTGGACCGGATAACTGTGCGAGTCAGGTGTGGGCAGGAGGGGAGAGCGTTGCCGCGCGCGTCGTGTGCGTATCTGTGTGACAGTGACGTGGCGTGAGGACACACGGGGTGCCGGTGACTGTAGACTTAAAGGAAGGTAGAGAGGAAACCTGGCCGCCGCCCGGTGGGGAGCGCTCACTTGCGGGGCACCCTGCGGCCTGGCTCTGATCCCCGGCCCGAAGCACCTGTCTCGGTCTCCTGAGAATGTGCTCTGCAGGGCGCGCGAGTGAGCTAGAGACGGGAGGATCGCGGGTTCCAGCCCAGCCCGTCCTGCCGTCTCAAAATCAAGAAATACAAAGTCTTGAAGCCAGGTGTGGTGGCTCACGCCTACAAAAAAAAAGTCGGGGGGAGACATGTTGTGCATCGACGCCCCATTCTGCATGTTATGAATGTAATCGTGTCCTGCAAACATGGACTGGTTAGAACAGAAGGGCAGCAGCAAGGCGCAGCCTCCCTCGGCTGTCACTGGCGTCCCGGCCCTGCTCACTCGGCTCTCAAGCTCGGGACTTGGATGACGAGAGCCCGAAAGGAAATCAGGTGACGTGGAGGAGACAGGTGTGCTCACACCCATTTCTGGGGAGCGGAAGCCACACCAGCCTAGCCCCTTTTTAATTTTTTTGAGACGGTTTCAGTAAGTCTGTAAGTTGCCTTGCCTTGGCTGGGCTCAGACTTGCCATCCTGCCTCAGCCTCCCACAAGGGTGCTGGGACTATGGGGCGGGCAGGCACCACCATACCCACCTCACAGTGAATTCTCTGAGATAAGGGCAGGTCCAGGAGAAAGGCAAGAGTGTGAGTAACACGAGACTCCTAACCAGGTTCAGCAAGGAAAAGTTCACAGTTCTGACCAGGAGGGGCTCTCGGGTCTGTCCCTGCGAGTGGCGTGTGTGTGTGTGTGTGTGTGTGTGTGTGTGTGTGTGTGTGTGTGTGTAGCTGGGGATGGAACCCAGGGCTTCCTTACTAGGCCTGTGGTCCGTCCGCACCCCCCACCCGCCCTTCCTCTTCGTCCTCTGGTCTCACAAAAGAGGATACAGGGTGCGTCCCCGTGTCCCTTACGCAGCAGGCAGCTGCTGGATGCTCCCGAGTGAATCTTTCTCCAGCTCCCGCAGGGATCAGGCACAGGGACCCGAGTGAGCCAGGGAAGCAGAGAAGCTGCTCTTGTGTGATTTGCGTTCCAGCCTCAGGCATGAGTGTGGATAGGCTCAAAGACGAGCCTCCTCCGGCGTGGAAACGGACTCTCGTGTCCCCCGGGCGGCCCCAGGCCTGGGTCAGGCAGGCAGCTACCCAGAAGCTGACCTATCTGCGAGCACCCCGATTTCAGTCTGAGTCTATTTATGGTGAAGACCGGAAGATGGAAGCTGTTTGAGACTGGGGCTCATAAAACTCCAGCGCTGCACAGTGCCGCAATCGCAGGATACTGACAGGACTGGGTGAGAGTGGCCGAGGATAATGACACAGTCGGGTGCAAGGAGTACGGTGCGGACCCTCCATCCCCGGGGCACCACCGCAGCACTCCCGCCCCACTTGCTGCAGTTCAGAGGTGTTCCCAGAGCTCAGGGAAGGGACTTAATCCCAGCAGTGGCTGGGTGGGCAGGAGGGGCTGGTGAGGACTGAGCAGGAAGCAGGAAGTGGGTCCCTAGGCCTGGGGCTCACCAGCTTCCTGGAAGAAATAAGTCGCATGACTGGACAGGAAGATGGGTGGGGCATAGGGGTAGGTGAGGGGGACAGGCATGGTCCACACACATTAAACCTCTGCCCAGATACGTGACCTTGGCGGGGAGGGTGGGACAGGGATCAGTAATGGGAAATGATTAAAGTGTGTTCCACGTGTGTAAAAATGGCCGAAACCAAACCCATCTGTGTGCATGATACTAATTTGCACTAATAAAGATGTGCAAACCTCTGTGCTCTAGGGCTTGATAGGTGCATCCTTAGTTTACCTCACACTACCTTAAAGTTATGCCACTTTCCTACTGAGGAAAAAAATCTCACAAAAGAAATCTTTTATTTATAAGTTACCCAGTTTTGGGCATCTTGGATTTTTTTTTATTTTTTACTTTTTTTTGAGTCTCACTGTGTGGTTCAAGCTGGCTTTGAACTCACTGTGCAGCCCAGGCTGACCTCAACCTCACAGCGATCCTCCTGCCTCAGCCTCCTGAAAGCTGGAACTACAGGCACCACCGTGCCAGGCACAGGCATCCCGCTCTGGCAGCATTAGGTGGATGAAGAGACTGCTGCCCGGGCAGCCTGAGATTCCTGCAGAGCTGGCCCCTCCTCTGCGGAGAAGTTCCCAGTCTCACTTCAGCCAGGCCCCGGCTGAGGGCCCCCGTTGTCCCCTCACCTGTCTTCTCCCACCCGAGTCCCTCCGGGCAGTGATGTCAGGGTTGGCAGAATCGCGGCCTGAGCCCAGCGGCTCCCTTGCCTGGAATCGGGACCCCGGGTGCCCAGGACCTTGGCCTGCCCCCCCTTCCGGTCACACCCTCACCCTGGGGCCTCCCAGACACCTCTGTCCAAGTGGATCCCAACTCCAGGACTGCACTTGGGCCTCACACTTGGCTACATCTCCAGCCCTTCTTTTCTTTCTTTTTCTTTTCTTTTCTCTTTTTTTTTTTGTTGTTTTGTTTTGTTTTTTTGTTTTTGTTTTTGTTTTTTTGGAGACAGGCTCTCACTATGTAGTCCAGGCTGGCCTCAAACTCACAGCAATCCCCCTGCCTCAGCCTCCTGAGTGCTGGGATCACAGGCTTATACCAGCACGCCCGGCTGGGTGTTCATTCTTTCCACATCCCCACACTTCCCTCTCCAATCTTTTCTTCAACCTGCTAGAGTAGAGCATATCGTGAGAGAAGGTGAGGAGGAATCTGCCGTGTTTTCCTATGTGTTCTGCTCCTTGATCGGCCTCAAACCGAGAAGAACATAAATGCAGTCATTCGCCAGTGTACTGGGCACCAATTGTGTGCCAGGCACTGCTTTAGCTCTGAGGCTGTAACGGGCAATGAACAAAACAAATTAGTGCTGGGCATGGAAACACATACCCGTCATTCCCACTACCCTGGAGGCTGAGCCAGGAGTAGGGCACGTCTGAAGCCAGCCTGGACAACTGAGCAAGACCTTATCTCAAAATGCAGCTTAAAAAGAGCTGGGGATGGAGCTCAATGGTAGAGCAGTTGCCTCACAGGTACGAGACTCTGGATTCCCGCCCCAGTACTAAAAAAAAGAAAAATCACTGCCCACAGGAAATACGTTTCAGTGGAAGAGTCAGGGACATAGAAGGATAGATAGAGTCTATGTAAGTGAGGATCTCACATGTATATATACAGATTCATATTACAGAAAATACATATTTTTAAATGAAAGGGAAGGGAAGAGAGCATGGAAATAGGTCAGTGCAGATATCTCTAATGAAGTCACATAAGCTGACACCTGCATAAAAAGAAACTCCCGACCCTGTGCTGCCCTCTGGGACCAACCTTCTAGAGGGCAGAGCAGGTGCAAAGGCCCTGGGGCTGCCACCCTAAGAGCAGCAGTCGTGTGGTCTCAGGGCCATGGGGCAAGAACTTTGGGTTTCCCTCAGAGTGTGCTCAGGAGACACCTGGTGGGTACTGAAGGGGGAGGTGATATAAACTGACATTTTCAAAGGACTATTCTGGCTGCTGTGCAGCCCCAAAGTGTAGCTGAGTTTTGCGGGTGAAGGGAGCACAGGCAAGAGGACCTGCTGG